ATCTTACTAAAAATCCCTCTGTATGCAGATGATGTGGATGTATTTGCTTCCAACATTTTGCTCCTCTTTTTCCGGAGAACATGGTTTCAGGCTGAAGATGATCACAAAATAACACACATACACATCTACTCATTAAAGCTGTCAGATGGCAGTGGACCAAATGATAGGCCAACTCTCCCGTCCTCAGAAAACAACGAGCTGAAATGTAAATCACATGCTCCAATAAATGTCTGTGAATTGAAGAATCCAGATCTCCAGTGTGTTCTATGGGTGTGTGTCACTGAAAGTCCCTGGTCTGTGAGGACGTGTGGCTCACCACCTCGAGTCAGATAGATAAAGTCAGTGAGTTAGAGAATAGTAAGAAAATAGTTCCACAACAAGTGCTTCACACAGTGAAAGAGGCCTGTTTGTCTCTACACATGACAGAAATGTGCCAAAGGCAAAGGGAAGTGTACTCCCAGTGAGGGGAAATCCTCTCTGTGGGTCTCACACACACACACACACACACACAGCATGTGATCGCGACTCTTTATTGAAGCCGACCAAAGACTTTATACACAAGGCACTCATGTTGTAGCACACACACACACACACAGACACACACAGATAAAGGAGCAGCACAGTTGTGAGGCGATGCAGAGCAGAGACACAGTGATGGAGCTGTTGATAACAACGGAGCCATCATTGTCTGCACCAGCCTCAGTGTGTGTCTGTGTGCGTGTCGGCCGGAGGGAACCTCCCTGGAAATCCGTTTTTGGTCAAATGCATCTAACCAGAGTTATGAGCGAGTGCCCTGTAATAGTTTGTATCACAAAATAACTGTAATTTTGCGTGTGGAGGATGTCAGGGTGGTAAAAAAAACAAGGGCTCTCACCCAGGATGCATCAGTTTATGTCACGTGTGAACCAGGTATTTTAAGATCATGTGTTGTTTTGTTCCAATTTTGTAGTTTTTACGAAACCTCGTCAAAACCTAACAAAGTACCTTTCCAGACGTTTTATTTTGCTTTGTTTCAGTTTCCATTTTTTGAAACACATTTGAAAACAGCGACTGTGGTCATTTGTTCCGCTGGCGTGAGTGCCGTTTAGTTGCCTCTTAGACAGAGTTGAATCACAAAAACCCACAATAGGAAACAAGTGTGCACACGTTATTTTTACACAACACAGGAAACGTGCGGCCTACTTGTCTGCATCAGTGTGTTTGTATGTACGTCTGCACGTGTGCTGCCCATTCCGCCGCGTGTTGTAGGTGTAAATGGTTCGTTATTAACATGTGAATGGGGTGTAAATGGGCGGTGGAGACGGCTCCGTTAGCAGAGACCAGAACCCCCCCCCCCCTCCCCACAACAGACCCCCCCGGAAGGTAAGAGGGTAATTAAGATCTTCCTCTATAAACATAAACACACATTTTGTGGGTTGTTTACCGTTTCTGTGTGAACTTGACAATAGTTGCCTCTACTCTCCATCGAGTCATTTTTGCAAGAAAACCATGAAGCTCACCTAGTTTCTGACCTTTGGGTTTCGTACAGTATCGCAATAGCCGATCGCAAAGGACTACCTGACACGCTTTGTCATGTCCCCAGGTTTAAGCATATTCAAAGTCAACTGTGAGGGATTTGTAACTGATTATGTCTCAGTCTCTATATTACATAGAAAATGATTTCTAAACAGTGTAACGCTTGACATCAGTGCCCTTGAGTCTGGATCTACCAGAGACCGGTCCATCGCGGTCAGGAACCAAACTCTCAGTCCCTGCTGGAGTAAACTGAGAAGGCTTCTTAAGGGACTTCTGGGAATTTTTTTGTTTTTGTCCAATAAAAACAAAACCACAGCCCCCCCCCCCCCCCCCTCCAGTGGGGTTAGAACCCAGAGGACAGCACGTACTGAATGAGTTGTCACAGGCCTTGCGTGCTGGGAGTCGGTGTGTGTTTGTGTGCTGCCCCGGTCCTGCCCCAGTGCAGATAGAATCAGCGCGATAAGGGGAGGAAGCATGAGGCTGTTATCTGCGAGCAGGAGCCTTGCAGCTCCTGCTGTTCCAGCTCGTTAATCTCAAACCCATTCCGATGAGTCCGTCCTTGCAGGGTTGCGTTTCTGCGTCACACCAGTGAACGCCTCTGAAGGTCGACCTCTTACTTTTTAAGTTAAGCTTCATCAACATCCGACTTCTGTTGAGTTGAAATGAGGTGATCAACGGGGGCAAAATGACATGGAGCCAAAGCAAACCTTTGACTACTACAGAGTCATTTGTCCTGGAAATAAATAGCAATTTGCTTCTTCTCACCATGAGGTTAATTGTGGCGCTCTGGGACCAACATTTACAGCCAATAATAACATTAAATATGTGCAGTGCCTGGATTAGAGCCTCACCGAGATTTATGTATGTTTATAATGAGGGCATCCCCTGGTAATCTGCGGTGACAGATGATCGCGTGGTGTAAATGGGGCATAAATGAACTTAATGGTGTTTGTTTTCTCCTCATTGTGTGTCTAGTCATGGTATCTATCACTTCTCACACCCGCTTCCTCCTCTGAGGACGAGCCCACGTCCGGCCTACGCATCGCGCCACAACTTTCGGATTTGTTTCAACACAGCGCTGTCGTTCTCACACAATCTTTTCCATGATAGGCCACACTCACTTCCTGAGTATGTGTCATACACACACACACACACACACAGACACAGACACGCATGCAGACAGGTCTCGCTCCAGACCCGATTAGTGCATGTGGTGAGTCTTTGTTTGGGGGACAAAGGATTTCCCCGTCTGAGACGAGCAGCCGGTGGCAAAGAAACAAGGAGGTGGACAAAGATCAGCTGCTGAAGTGAAAGCCGTGGGGGGGGTGGGGGGGGCAGGGGGCAGTCTGAAGAAGATGGAGGTCACTAGTATGAGACTATACTTCAACCGGCTTCCCCATCCCCTGATTGAGGTTTGAAGCCGGACCTTTTGGAGAACACGTCTTTACACTAACAGACACACTAACAGACTGGAGTCTTTTACCCAGCAGGTACTAATCAGAGGTAATGGAGGCGAGTCACTGACCTCTACACTCACAGCTTCTTCCTGCTCACCTGGTAATTGAGGCTCATTCCACTCACTCATCTCCAATCAGTGTGTCTGTCATTACGCATAAGTGAAACCAATGGAAAATGTAATGACTTTAAAGAAGGGGGAGGCATAAGAAAACATTTAGGGCCTTTAAAGGGCCATCCTCGGACACAGCGGCGTAACAAACGCATGCACATTCTGCAGGGAATGAATGGAGGGAAACAAAGAGAGAAAAGGTTTTTCATAAAGTCGAATTCAAAGAAATTAGAAGCAAACAAGCAAAACAAGGACCTGAACTGAGAAATGAACAAACCATGTGATCATGTCGCTGTTTTCTCGATGACCTTTGATATAATAAATGGTGGCAAGTTGAGAGTTGTTTTCACCTGAAACATCAACCTCTCTCTCACCGAGGGGCTGAATTCCCCTCCGAGGGGTCGCTGGCACCAAATCACACGACGCACCAGATCATGACGGCTTGACGGCCATATTGTGGCGTGCAGCGTTTCGACGCTTTCGGTCCGAAAGAGACGTTTTTCTGACACATTTGGTGTTGTTCTTGTTCAAATGGGGATGTAGATGACGGAGACAAAGGGTGAAACTCAAACAACGGGTCACAGAGGAAGAGGGGCCCGCGAGCAGAAAAGAAGATGGGGGGGGGGGGGGGGGGGCTGAATAATAGGGCGAGCAGTATGGAAGGAGGGAGGACGTTGTCTAAAAGAGAGCAGAATTTATTTGAAGGTGAATAAAAACAGCTTGCCTCCATTCAGAGGGACTCCTGTCACACCGGGAGGAGGTGCAAAGGGGGGAGAGGGGAGAGAGGGGAGAGAGGGGAGGGCCGGCAACACACTTCATATGCTAACACGGCATGGAGACACACGCAGGGATGCAACAAAAACAACACACACAGAGACGTGCAAATAAAGAGACAGCCCGCTGTCTGTCTCTGTCCCTGTGTGTGTGTGTGTGTGTGTGTTTGAGAGCGACACAGAGAGGTGCAGGTATGTTTTTCTGAGGTATAACGCGGAATACGTTCAGGATGGCTGGTGTTTCTTGATTTTTATTATGTCGGTAAATGTCGGTGAAAGTTACTTCTAACACTGTCTATCATGTCAGTGACGGAATAATCAGCATCTGTGTCAAGAAATGGAAATACAGTTCTTTCCACCAACAAAAGGGACGTTGTAAACATGAATATAGTGAGTAAATAAACCGCCCTGAACGCCACAGCGTCCCCCGAGGGTCGATGTCAGGTGATTGATGAACTCCTCCTGTGTCCGTATCCGAGGTGGGGGACAGACAAAGAGACAGATAAGGGTGAGACACGCTGTCAAAAGGAAACACGGCCATATTTGGGCAGAAACCTGCTGTGTTACGGCTCGTTATTTACAGAGTTGAACTTTGCTGTGGCGATTCTCATTGCGATGCTGACTTCATGTGTTCATAAACGGAGATAGGAAAGGTGTTCTTCACCGTGTGAAGATCCATATATTTTGATGCGAAGGACATCAGCACGAAAAAAATGACAGCATGTCGTTATCGTTGTCGTTGTCATTGCAACGGCATATTGCCCCCCCCAGAGGGGCTGTATTTCAGCCAGGGGTGTCGCAGTGATTCTCCACCGTCCACTAAGTCCAGACATTGTTGATGTT